GATTGGCATTGGATATCGTAGTGACGATTCATTTTTCCAACATATGAGTATGCAACATTTCGTATAAATTTGTATGTGTTTGCATGTGCTCAGCTACAGTGTCTCTTTTTGGAAAAACTCCTCTCACATGTAGCGAGTATTCTGAACATCCATTATCCGTTCGACGTACTTATGGCGAGATTTGACTACCATGGCTCGAGCTCACGACTCACTTAGTGCCTGAGTCTCATATGACTACAGCATTTGCTGCTGTAGAGCTCATAAACCAATCGGCCAAAGCTTATTTGTAAGAGAGCAACTCGAATCTCTCATACTAACTTCGCAAAGTTTTCTCAAAATCAGGAGTTCATTGGCTACTAACGTGCATAGTTAAAAGGAGTTTTCTTTAATAGGGAAATCTATAAGGTTCTTGTAGGCTACCTCATCACTATCATGGAACAACACAATCAATGGATATCACTTGGATCTTTGGTTATATAGATGCCTAGCAGTGAGACTCACACTTTTCAGCGCTTTGAATTGTTGTCGAAAAGCGTAGACCAGAGAGCAAAACGTACTCGCTTCCAATATAAGACGTCCAAGCTAACCCCGGGCGAGCTCAGATTAGTAAACAGTTTAAGATGAAAAGCAGAGCTGTGCACGGCTGGTCCTGAGAAACTCTGTCCAAAAACGAGATATGTTAAGACCATTGAAAGACCAAAGCCCAGCGTAGACGAAATGACTTGAACATATCATTATAGATTAGGACCTTCTAGATCCACCATTGACCAGATATTCACGAGACCAGTGAAATCAGGTTCAACACGCACCACATCTTCGTCAAATTTGGTCGAATTTTATGATTTTGTTAGCTGGGGTATAACCTTTGCGAGTATCAGCCCTTCACATGATTGGAACATCGTATTTTCAAAGCTTCCGTCACTCCAGCGGAGAGACACGGAAGTCAGGCAGAAAGTGAAAAAGTTTATCAAATCGACCGAGATCAGATCCCCCATATCCTCTTTCAATCAACTATTCAACCGTATTGAATGTGTTCTCAGTCAAATGGCGCTCAAAAATATCGATCGGTATCGAAGAAACTTGAAGCTAATACAAACCTTCTTGGCCTTTAACCACACGCCTCATCCTATTCCTCATTTCAAAAGTGGTTTTTTTATGTAGGAGCTCTCATGAAAAGGACTTGTTAGTTTTATATTGCCTCCGCTTCTATCGGTCCTCTGGGTAGCACTGAATTTACAGAAGAGTAATCGTTTTGCTAACGGACTGCATTCAAGCCGTTCCAGACCGTTTCAAGCTTAACACTTTCTGGGTTAGATAAGGGTACAACAGAGTAGTCAAATAGTGCGGTATGAGCTTCATCCTCTTATGAGTCTAACGCTCTGAATATTCGACATTGAGATCTCACTAATGGCACATTGTGGACCATATTCCGAAAACGACTCATTCTTCTGGACACCTAGGGGCATTTACATTGGTAAAGAATTGGCCGAAACCGAAATCAGATGTGGAATAATGGAACCCGAAGCAATTTGGACATTTTAATATATTGAAAAGCTCATAACCCCTCTTGCTAAGGTTAGACTTCAATGGAAACAATTAGTTGTTGCACCGCTCTAGACCATAATAAGGTTCAAAGTGTGGGGTAGGTGCGTCAAGGGTTTAAACAGCTCGCTCTCTTTTCGTCCACCGAACATAGCTATCATCTTAGAAATGAAGTACTTAGAATAACTACGAGGCCTTATTCGCAAAGAGCCAAGCGTCTTTACTGGCCTTACCGTCATCCATAACTGGTGAAAAGTTAGTTTCAGTAAAGGCTCAGAACTGGCACATCCATCATCAGGATGGTGAAGAGGCTTCGGTTCAAAGGAAATGAGAAAGCGATTGCCCATTCAATCTGTGAGTACCTAGTCCACTCGCAACTTCTTTGATGAGGTCCACTTTGAAGTTAGGCTTTGTCAGTTTCCGCTTGCTTACCGTGTTGAATACGCCTGTCGAGGATGATGTTTGCTCGATGAACAACAAAATGTGAAACTTTGAATAGCCTGTCATTTCGGGAGAAGTCACTTTGTAAGCTGTAATTTTTTGACATTTGACAAGTAAAAACTTCGCCAGTAATAAAAAATGGAACCATATGCATTTCAACAACGCATTAAAATTATTAAAAATCCTGGCAGATACGGTTCGGGAAATTAAAAAATGAACTTTTGGAACAAGGTAGTGATGCGAAGAATAAAACACGGACAAGAACTTAGAATATTGCTGCTGTAGCCCAAACTGTTGAAGAAAATCAAGGTTTGTCGTCCATTCCTCGTGATTCTTTCGATCGGAAAATTCCTCTAAAGGCACTATACAGTATTTTGTGTAAAATCTTGGTCCTTAAGGCGTTAAAGTTCAGTTAACACAAGAACTTCAGAATGCTGATCATCAACAACGTCGTCTCTTGGTAGTTTGGGTCCTGAAATGCATTAAAATGAACCAAAATTTTATCGAAAAATCATCTTGACTGGTAAGGCCCATTTCCATCTTGATGTCAAGACTGTCTCATCTGGGACTCGGAAAACTCAAGATTTATTGTTGAAAAGAAACTCCATCCTCGACGTGTAACTCTTTATTGCGGTTTATGGTCCAGCGGAGTCATTTAGATCTTCTTTTTTCAAAAATGAGACTTAAGCAACAGTTACGGTGAATAGATTGTGCTATCGAGAGATGATCAATAATTTTTTAAGGCCGGACGTTTACTCTCATGATGATGGCGCTACGTACCACATTAGGAACGAAACCATCGATCTTTTAAGGGAAGAGTTTCTTTGAATATCAAAATAACACCTCTTCTTGGAAAACCCTGAAAACCAGCAGAAAATGTAGAAACATCGGACACTGTGCGCTGAAATTAGTCAGCGTACTGACTGAATGACTGACTGACTCGCTGCATATATATGTATATATGTATCGCAAAGTGAGTGTTGTAATGATGCATATGTATATATGTATGTCCGTCATGTGCGCATGCCGAAGTGTTTGTAGATTTGTACATATATGTATGTGCTTGCGTGTGTGTGTGTGTGTATGTGTGTGTGCGTGTGGGTTTTCACTAAATTTCAGCTGTTGTATGCATGTAGCTGCTTTTAGACGATGACGATGTTATCTAACTGCGCTGTGCTGTGCGCTTATCAGCGTTTTATCAGTTTTTCATACCCTCTCTCCACATTTGTTTCTTCTGTCCTCTTACTTACTGTTGTTGGTTGGATATTCAACATCAGTTGAGTGCAGCAAAAAGTTTATGTTTTTTTTTTTCAATTTATTTTCCGCAAATGAGTGAGCGAGTGAACCAGTGGAGTTGAGCTGAGTGAGTGAGTGTAGTGGTGATGAATGTCTTTCTCCACCACCTGTGAGTGTGTGCGCGCGCGCGAGCGTATCACTGAACAGGCATACAGCCAAGTAAAGAAAGCGTATGGACGAGCTTTGAGGGGGTGGGCGGTTTACAAGTCGCCTAGCTGCATAGCTGTATAGCCGGCTAGTTGACCGTTACGAGCGTTGCTGCTTACATATACATATCTACATATACATATATATATATATTGTGACATATGTGTGTGTATGTGGCTTAGCACATAGCTTACAACTGGCCAAACAACAGAGCCAAACTTTTCGCAGCTGCGAGGCAATAATGTCTAGCTGGCAAGCTTGCAACTAAAAGAAGAAAAGACTCCTCAGCAGAGGCCAACAAAGCAAATGCTTGCCAGCTTGCCAGCAAACAAACAAGCAAAGTACGAGGCAATCAGACTACAACAGCAGGTTACTACTAAAATTGTCATGAAAGCCAAAGCCATGCGTTGATGAAAGGAGTAAAAAATCCTTTTTTAGATTTCTCTAACAAAATATGTGAGCGCACAGCGTACAGTTATAATATTCTCACATTACAGAGCGCACACGAATCGAGCGTGTATCCTGCGCTCAAGCTTTCTTCCTGACAACCGTACACACTAGAATGATATGCAACCCTTTAAATGGGGGTCGCAATAAAACGCCCCTTCAAGCTAACAGCTGTGTTGTCAGAAAACAACTCGAACGAGCAAATACTCATTCACACACACACACACACCCATACACACAAGCAATCACCCACCAGCGCCATGACAAAGAGAGCGAGCGCTCACTTCCGCTCTACAAGCGGCCAGCACAACGACTTATCTCGGCTTGTGTGCGTGCCAAATCGGATACGTGCGTGTGTATGTTTGTGTGTTTGTATGTGTGTTTGTGTGCTTGCGAGTGCTTGAGTGCGATTCCATTGTAGTCGCTTCAGTTGGTCATAGAACGTGAAACGAACAACATAACATGTATAGGCGGCGCCAAAATATCACGTAAAAAGTAAGCAAGCACATAAGACGACGTGAGCCGCCAACGCTCCGCTTGCTAAAGAATCCAACTGTTTATCTTTTTACGCCTTCAAAGGAAAAAAACATTTGGAATTTTCGGCCTGAAGCGAGATTTTATTGTGACTTTAAGTGAACGCTCTTTGTATGTACGTGTACATATGTGTGGCTACTTGGCCCGAATTGCTGCAGTTTTGTTGTTAGCTGTTTGACTGTGTAGTGTGCTGTGAAATGCGCGCGTAAAATTTTACGTTTTCGAAAAATGCGCTAATTAAATCGCTTCAAGATAAAAAAATGCAAAATGCAAGCAAAAAGAAAAGATAAAAAACAAAAAAAAAGAAAACAAGTGAATGTTGATGCGAATTCTGTGATAAGAAAAAAGTGAGTTAAACAAATGCAAACATACATACATACGGGCATACAGATAAAATAAAGATATTTAGTTGTGAAAGCAGTAGACAAAAGAAAATGCCATAAAAAAAATGCGCGAAGCTGTAGCCAAAGGCAAGTGGCGAAAATAAACAAAAATCCATTTGTGTCATTTCACTGCGAAAGCACTGTGAGAGTAAAGCAAAATTTGTGGTAATTTAATAAAAAAAAAGTTTTAAAATTTATTAAAAAATAATTAAAAATATTTTTCAAAGATATTTAGTTACAAAAAAATAATAATAACAATTGAAAGTATTATACATTCCATGCAATATCACATTGCATTTCAAAGGCATTACTCAACTTTTGACGTAGAGAAAAAATGACCAAAAAACAAATAAATTAAAATGAAATATAAAAAATTTGATTGAAAGCACAAAAAATAAATAATAAATCCATATATCCCATAACCAATTGTTTAAGCCACAAAAAAAAACAAATAAAAATAAACGCCATTCCGTCACTGGATAGTTCATCCATACGTTTCAGTACACACACATACATACATACCTTCATTTCTGCATACAAGCCAACAAATATTAATACATATATATATATATGTATGTATGTACATATGTATGTACATTGTATCGTACTATATGAATAAATAAATATCGGCGTTGAGTTATAAAATATGCAGCGATAAAAATCGTCAACATTCAACATTGTTTCACTACAACTGCTGCTGTTGTTGCTGTTGCTGCCTTTTGTTGTTGTTGCGGTTTCTCGTATATTTGCTTGTGATAAAATCAGCTTGTTTAATTTTTTCATTGTCGTTGTTTGAGTGCTGTGTTGTGTTTTTTTTTTTTTTTTTTTTTTGGTTTTCCTGTGCATGTGATTGACTTCTGCTCAGAAGCACAAATACACACAAACACACACGGCCACTCGCACTCTCATTCACACTCGCTCATTCGCGATAATCAACATTTCTCTTGGGGATGCGGGCCTGCCCCACACACACTTTTTGTTTTTGTTTGTAATTGTTGTTGTTTTTTTTCGTAGTATTTGTCACTCACAAACTGTTCATTATCGTCGTGAATTGAATTTATCGCCTCGGCGGCACACAAGTGTTAGTGTACGAAAAGTGAGTGGACTTTAGCGAGTGACTGAGTGAGTGAGTGACAAAAATAGAGAGAGAGAGCGCGCGCGTGTGGCAACAAAGGGTGCATATTGAATATGTGCGGTGTCAGATGGTGGTGAATAGTAGTGTTGGATAACGATTAAAGGAATAAAAATGTTTGGTAAAGAAAAAAAGAAATAATTAATTTTTATTAAAAGAATACGATATTTTTGATTTTTACCACTTAATTTAAATTAAATGGTGGATGTATACTAATGGGTTGTTTTTAAAACAACTTTGAAACAAAAAAAATTTTAAAGAAAATGAAAATGTGTAATATTTTATTCCGAAACTCACAGTTTTTGATAAAGAATTCATTTGATGTCTGTTGAAATTTTTAAGTTGATCAAGTCAGAGAAACTATATAGCTTTAGCTCAGCGCTTTATGAGTTCTCATTTCCTTGAGATGAAAGAATATTGACCAAAAAATTTTCATTTTTTTAAGATGTCAAGGATGGCAGTTGGGGTAAGATTTTCTGGTTATTGGGGAGTTTCAAAATTTGAAATGATAGTCGGATGAGAGATATTTTTAATCACAACTAAACTATAATGGATCTAATACAAATGAATAAAAGAAATCAAAATTACAAATAAATTTTGACTAACTCAAATAAAGTTATAAACTAGAGGAATTTGAAGTTTCCTACAAATGTTTTGCAAAGCGTTTTTTTTCAATCTGTCGGTGATCCATTTTCAGGAAACAATTCTCAACCGTTCAGGCGTATCTTCCAAAAATTTAACCAAAACAAACCGTGAATATGTAAATTATTTTAAACAGATCGATCCACACCTCATCAAAAAATGACGTCAAGTAAATGGAACTATAAATACGATTTTTTCGAATAAAGGAGTCTCCTCGATCTTGATAGGCTTCGAAGGAATACACAACTCAAACATTATGGCGTACCGGCGATCCGTTATTGGTCGAATGCAGCTTTGTAATCAATAATGATGAGATGATGAGTGTCGATCTGTTTTTCTCAGATATTTTCCTGGATTCAACATAATCTGAAGAAGTGGCCAATGATTGACTTGCCTGGTCCAAAATTACACTGATAATCTACAAACAGTGTGCTGTAAGCGTCTTTAGTTTTTCGCATATTACGTTCGGCTAGACCCTAAAAGAACAAAAAAGAAAACATAATTGATTCCGAGGTAGTTGGTACATATCGTTAGGCCATCCTTCTTTAATGCAGAACAAATAATATTAGGATCCGCCATGCTACCAGTTCGTCCTTTCACTCCGGTGCCGATTGTTCATTGCTGGGTAATGAAATGTCTAGCATCAGATTGCTTCCCTCAGAGTCGGGAAAGGCTGTAAATAGTTCAACGTCTGACTCTCATCAGCACCTGTGATTCATTATAAATCATTCCAACCATCCAACCTGAGTACTTAACATCATATGTGGTTAAATGCTTGTTAATATATTTTAAGTAGTTTGGATTCTTGGTCCGTTAGAACGTTGGAAATTCCACTATTCTTTAGGTGTTTGACTTTATTCTTTTCTACATACGTTATTATTCATCTGAGCTGGTGCTGGGAGGAACCTTCTGCATCATAACATTTTCACGGGAGAACTGTAAAGCGTCACCGGCGGATAGGAGTACTTAAGATCTTTTCGTAAAGGTCTAAACTTGATGGAAATGTCCAACTTGACGGAAAGGTCGTCACCCGATTCTTTTTTCGAAAATAATAAATCGTCGGAGAGTCTACTTTCAGACCATTGCAAAGTTTTCCAGGCCAAAGTTGATGCAATTATCGAAGCCGCTGACACATTGCATCGGAGGGTGCTTGCTGTGGGATATGCTAACATTTACTCAGATCCAATCCTTCCAATTTGTTGTACGTGTATTTATGATTTTCCAATAATTTTTATGGAGACCTTTCATTTCAAAACAGATATACAGTCGGAGGGCTTAACGTTCCCTGCCGGAACGCGTCCGTCTTTGAAAAAATTAGTTATCTGTAATTTTGGGATGTTAATCGGACTAGGTCGCGAACCAAAGCCATTGGAATACTTACCACCCGACTGTTACGACCTTTCATTTTGAAGGTATACTTCTCAACATTGCCTGTGTCGTCGACTGGTTTTGGAATTAAATCCATATTGGTACCGGGTCACAATACAACAGTACACAGTACAGTTCAAAGCTGTAAGTATCACAGCTTTGTCAATAACTGGTAAACTGACTCTTCTTTCAAGTGGACAGAAGTCTTTTAACCAACTTAGTGAGCGTTCGGTTGTTGTGCGCATCTGTGAGGGCCTTCCGACACAAGGTGATCTATGCAAAGCCACGGAAGATCCACCAAAACTCTCGCACACCATAGAATTTCTGACTGGGAGTTATATGATGAGTTGGGATTTTTCCGTACACCCACCAGTGTAGTAGTTGTCTGGAAAGAGAGTCATTGTATGGGTCATCAAAACGCAAGTATCTTATGCGTCTCTTTAGGGTACTCCAGGGATCAGCCACTTTTATCTAACACAGAGTGTTCTATGCACCACCAGAAATTCTACTGGGTTATATCTGTATGTACATATGTATATATAGCCATGCATTCACAATATGCATTTCTTATGCCAATCATAAGCAATTCAAATTACTGCTAAATAACTGCCAAAACGGCTGACTAACATCACTGCCAATGCCACAAATGCATATGTACATTTAACCACATTCACGCCTGACAGTGTTGAGCTTCCTGCCCACCGCCTACCTCAGTGTATGTATGTATGTAGCAACCGACCAACAAACCGAACAAATAAACGATCAGCCGGCTAAACAGCCTTACGGCCAGACAGATTGCTAGTCAGCCACTCAGCTCAGCCAGCCACTCAGTCGGCCAGGCATACTTTGGATATACATATGTATGTACATGTGTGTATGTTTGTACATAGATATGTATGTTTATGCCTACACCTCTTTATAAAGAGGAATATTGACTGTGGCTGCTACTCCAACTTCGGATTCTTATCAGTTTACTATCTGTTGGATACATTCATTTATAAAAATATACAAACACATATATGCATACATATATTCCCTCCCAAAAAAGCACAAAAAAAAAACAAAAAACACGTGCATATGCTAGCTAAAACAACAGCACACACATGCAGTATGTATGTAAGTATGTATATATATGAAATGTGTGTGTTTATGCTTGTGTTTGTTCGCATTTGATATCTACGATCTAGAAATGAAGAAGGAGGAAGCAAAAACAACAAAACGTAAACGAATTAAACAACGAATTCTGCGGATTGTTGTTATTATTGTTATTATAATTCCTTGAAGTGAATATCAGCAAAATTTAATCACATTCTCAACAAAAATACAACAACAAAAAAAAGCTTGAGTCAAGCGTTCCATGCATGGGCAAAGAAATGAAAGAAAACTTGCGGGGTTAGCGGCTGGAAATGAACAGCGAAATTGTCGAAATATAAATTTACGTGCATATGAATATATGTACATATGTATGTGTATATGGATATGAGAGCGTATAAATCCAACATTGGTATTTACATACCTACATGCATATGCACATATGTACATATGTATGTACATATACTTTTTACAATCATTTATACAATCAGCAAGTTAACTACTCGCACATACAAACAAACAAACAAACAAACACACAGATATACAATTATGGAGTACAATACGATAAATGTACTAGCAGTAAATACATATATATGCATATATGTACATACAAACATATTGTTTCACTTGAAACAATTATTATTCCCTTAAGATATCAACAATAAGCACAAGTCAAACCAGCCATACGATATTAAATATATGCACATATGAGCACATACATACATACATATATTCGCTTGTAATCGCACAAGTGCTATCTAAGTAAGTACGTATGTAAGTTGTTTGGTTTGTTGATTTGTTTTTGTTTGTTAAGAAAACTCATATTCTCGGTAGCGATTGTAATGTAAATTTGTTAAGAGGGCGAACTAAATAAAACTCTTTGAATTGTGAAGCAACAACAACAACAACAACAACAACAAGATTAACAGCAAAAACACCTCCACCACCATTGAAGTCTAACTTGGTTTAATAGTCGACTATACTGCTGTTTACACAAGGTATATTAGTTTTGTCCACAGAGAAAAGGCTTTCTACCACCAGATGTTGCAAGATTCCTACTAGAAGACTTAACAATGTAGGTGTGAATATTTCACTGATGGACTTCATTATTCAGCTACTTCATTGTTGTGTAGTGGGGGATCTCGAGTATCTAGCTATGCCAAGAGAGCCACGCGTCAGAGTGGCAAGTTTTCACAAATTTTATGTGATCTAATGAAGGGATTACTTTGTAAAATATCATTGTAGTCCAACCACTGTGGTTCCTGTGTTAACTCCAATAAGTTTTAATTTGATCTCTTAAGCGGGACGTTCACAATTTAATCAAAAAATCCATCGAAACTAAACCAAGTTCGGCCAAGCTTTTTAAAAGACATTCTTGCCGCCAGTAAATTGAGTTGGAAAAAGGATACATGTAACTCAGAGGTGTGACAAGGTCTTCACCGCTCTTTATGCCAGTAAAAGAACTACAGGATTACGTCTAAAAATCAGACACTGCTTTTCACATACGTGGCAAGATGCAGTACTAGGTAGCCCACGCCACTGTTTACACTCATAACTTATAGGTCGTAAACAATGTTTTCTTTCCAACACAAAATCACTCTTGCCAACAGGTGCTACTTTGAACTGAGTAGATAATTGAAAAGTAAAGCCCTCTCTCGAAGAAACGAAGACCAAACTCTACAAGTCGCTCCTCATTGCCGTTTTGCTTATATAGTGCCGAGGCATGGACGATGACTCGAGAGAATGGTTTTATGTAAGATTTATGATCCTTTGCGCCTTGGAACATCAGTACATCAGTTGGCATCGCTGTCTGTTCTTTGGAAATAGTGAAACTGTCAACCAGCAGTATACTCAAGATTCCTAAAAGCTATTGCCTTTCTACCAAGCAACACACGTATTTTAGTTACCCGCTATTGCAGGTAAAAATTCAGCAAAGTTCGACCGCGTGCTTTAAAGTTTCCAAAAATGGTTCAAAACTGGATGGCAGATTTGTAGGAGTATGTGTTTTCTTACGTAACCCTTATTGGAGCTCTCATTCAAGCTGTAAGATCATTGAGAGTGTGCTTGAAACCTAAATCACTCATTTCATGAAAGTTGTTAAACACCTTGTAAAGAAATACTCAGAGACAGACAACTTTAACCATTAGAGCGGCAATAAAAGCTCTGAGTTCGATCCCTAAGTCGTACTGGAATGTCGCAAATCTCTTCAGCAGATGACAAACAGAAAATACTATCCCTCTTACCGAGACGTAGAGGTGGAAATGCAGAACAGACAAGCTAGTTAGGGTGAGACCATGCAGATTCCCCCTTATAAGGAGCGCATTGGCATGCCTTTAGCCACGTGCAAACTGCTACTCAAGTTAACTCTTCCAGAGATGCCGAATTCAAGTGGTGGTGGGAACGCAGAAAATCTTATATTCTCTGACAAAGAAGCACAGTTTGAAGGTGTTTGGTATATTGACGGCACATTGGATTATAGTAGCGGCATGCAGAAAATCTAAGGACGTTCCAGTAGATATGGCAGGGGTTGCAGGATTCACTTAGTGGAAGAGAACATTTTCCATCTGTTATATAATGGATCTGCCCTACGCAATTGTAGATATCGACCTTTCGTAGTCGGCTTACTTATGATCTCTGCCAGAAACTATTGTTACCAACCTAATAAAATTCGAAAAAAAATCCAAGTAGTTGGAAAGTCTATTAGTATAAGCAAATTTCCGAGACGGACTATTTTAAACGAAGTGTATTTAAGCTCGCATATAGACAACCACTTCTACTTACCAACCTTTGTTCAGCGAACGGCTGTAGGTAAAAGCGTGAAATGATTGATAGAAATATAAACTCATCTATGACCAACATTTTATATTGATCGCTGGTGCTATATCTAGCTGCCCGTCCTCCCACGTCTACAATGTTTAAGTTCTTACTCGAGAAAGCATTACTGACATCATGATATCATTTCGATTCCAACCAAGTTTAATCTACCTTACTTGCCTTTCTCGTCAATTCCTCAAGTGCGCACTGAGCCATCGCGTGGCATTTTCTTAGTATTAAATCACTTGGCTTTCTTTGGATTAATTTAAATCCTACATGCAGTCAAGTCAGTTGGTGTTTGTGGGCGGTTTCATTGCTGACTGACAGTTTTCTTTAGAAAATAATATATTATCATGGTATTTAAATTATATTTGTTAACATGAAATGTGTGTGTAATCTTTAGTTGATGCTTACACTAATAATTTAATCTGTGAAATTGTATGCATCATTTTACATCAAAAAGGAGTAAATAAAATTTTCTTGAAAATTTCTGCGATCATGGGAAATTAGTTAGAAGAGTATTTAAAATCTCTGCATCTAAGTGACTCTTACGAAAAAATAACTGTAGCATTTGAAAGGTCGACTATCAGTCTCAACATATACCTGCCGATTTCCACAATGGTGGTTCGACAGATTGCTGTTACATACTGTTTTAAAAAAAAATTTGTTCAGCAATTCAATAAAAAACAAGACTCTCAAAGCTATCCGAGAACGACTATGGCACCAATGCCTCTGTAAAAATTTCTCACCTGAACGATCCAATAAAGCTGGAATCCCACAGTCTGAAATTGGATGAGTCTCATTTGCTATAAGATGAGGTACCCAATTATTACCAAATGTGAAAGGCTTTGTTTAAGTCGAAACGAGCATAAGATACTCGACGGATATTTTTTTAGAATATCAAGCCCAGAGATGAATCAAAAATAGAAGGTCTATTAAAATATTTTTGGCGAAACTTTAGTCTTCAGTCAACGTAAAACACCTATTAAATCTGTCAAAAAATTACTTAAATTTTCGATCTTGAATGAAGTAGGGGTTGCGTTTGCTCTCTCTCTCTCTCTCTCTCTCTCTCTCTCTCTCTCTCTCTCTCTCTCTCTCTCTCTCTCTCTCTCTCTCTCTCTCTCTCTCTCTCTCTCTCTCTCTCTCTCTCTCTCTCTCTCTCTCTCTCTCTCTCTCTCTCTCTCTCTCTCTCTCTCTCTCTCTCTCTCTCTCTCTCTGTCTCTATCTCTGTCTCTGTCTCTGTAAATGGGATTTCCCACTCCAAGCATATCCCACATTTCCCAGTTCGATTTACAAATTTTTGAGAATGAACTACGACCGAATTGTTGCATTCCGTAGAATATGTAAACAAACCAGCCAAATTATTCACCATACGCCAGAATAGATGATAAACAATTGGTGCAAGGCCCGGACTATAAGGTGAATGCATATCAATCTGCCAATCAAGCTCTCGAAGCTTCAGGTGAGATCTAGCGTTGTCCTGAGGAAACACAATTCCCCTCCTGTTGGCTAAAGTTGGGCCTTTTTAAACGATTACTTCCTTTAGAAGGTCCAATTACTGTAAGCGCAAGTCCGAAGAGTTTGAGAGTAGTTGAGCAGCTCAGAGTGGGTTATACACTGCCAATCCTACCAAACACAAAATAAAGCCTTTCTGGCCGTAAACTTTTGCTTGCTGACCGTTTGTGCCCATGCGCCACGATCCGTTTCGTTTGCCTTAGATGTAAGTAGACCACTTTTCATCAGCTATCGCTAGTCGCTTCAGAAGTTCTACGAATTTATGACGATTTAGCAGAACTTCAAAAATGGCAATGCCGTCCTTAAGGTTTTTCTTGTTAACTCATGTTGCACGCATACTTCGAGCTTCTATGTGAATCCAGCTTTTTTCAACTGGTTTCAAACTGTTTTCTGTGCAAAGTATAGCTCCTGGGCAATAAAAAAAAATGCTCACATGACGGTCATACTCGACGATTTCCATTATTTGATCGACATTTTCGATAATTGGCCTTGCACAGCGTAGCGCATCTTTTACATCAAAATTACCAGAACGGAAGTAACGGAGTCAATTGATTCATTGACTGTTGCACTAACAGATCCATAAGCACTATTCATATTTTCAGCTGCCTGGCTTGCCGTTTCGCCTTTAACAACAAAAAATTGTATAATTTAGTTATTTTCTCCTTTCTGGTACCCATTTTTGACATGCGCTCAAATACTACTGGATTAATAGATCAAAATTTGTTTTCATTATATATTTTAGTACAAAATACCACTTTCACTTACATCTATCGTAATCCGACAGCACTTATGGAACGCGAGGTACATGTCATTAAAGCCGTCTATTGCCCAAATAATGGATTACTTTTTACTAGAGTACCATTCACTGGCACTTTATCTTAGTACGAAAAGTAAATTTAATAAGAATTCTAAGTCGTATACAGATTTTACGAAAATAATGAACTTTTGAATTGAAACACAGGGCGAAACCTATCTTAGTTAGATTCTATCATAAGTTCATAAACTAGACTTACTTGTTCGAATTTTATTTCGAAAAAAAGAAAGCAAGAAATATTAAACCTTTTTCAAACTTTCTGCTGGCGAAACTTTCTATATATTTCTAAAAACATATATAATATATTGTCAAAATGTAGTTAATCTCATTTTGTCACCTCCACTTTTTGTAATTACAATATGTATGTGCGTGTGTACATACGTACATACATATGTATACCTACAGTGGCTGTTGGTCAAACGCCTACCAACAACCACACACGTCAAAACAAACTACCGCACAAAAAGGAGATGACAAAAACTAACAAAGCGACCGGCCAGCTTAGTGAAGACGGCGTGGGTCGCTAGCTACGCACAACAACAAACTACGTGCAAAGAAAACAAAACCAAGCGAAACTTCCTAACGCGATAAACAAAAATTGCGGGACAACAATTTAACAGCAAATTCGAACTGCTCAAAACAATAAAACAAAATATGTTTTTGGGGTGCACCCGAGGTGTGGTCCAACCGAACTGGTTACGAACCCACTCGCACTACTCCCGTGCTGCCGGGGGTAACTTTAACCCGCCTGTATGACTGGGCTCCGGGTGCGGGATGCTAGAAGGATGGGTAAGGACGTAACGAGGGTGGTGACACTGTCGGCACGACAAAACGTACGCAAACAATAAATACACGAAATGATACTTATCAGTTTCTCGGTCGGGTGTGGGTACCCAACTTCGGTGCTCCTCCGGATGATGTCGACGCCAAACTCTGGTTCCGCCACTGGAATATAAAAGAAAACCTATTTTGCACTGGGCTTCGTCTGCCCTTAAACAAGCCCCGACTGGCTTAAAACTTTCACTACTTTTTACAAGGCTTCAACTGCCCTTACACTACCACTTGCCTCGCCTGGCAAAACGCTATTATATTTATAAAAAAAAATATCACAAATTTTTTGTTTGTTTTTTTTTCTTTTTTTTTTTAAATCGCACGCCTGCGTAAAAAGAAGTTCGCACTCTTCTGTAGATTGCAAGAATCTGATCCGGCACGCACTTACGAGCCAGGCCGCAAGCTACGCGTCGGCCTTCAAAATTCTCCTGCGAGTGTGTATTGGTGCCCAATCATTTGGCGCCGCCCCCATTACCCAAAGGGACCGGGTTGTATAGCGCACGCCACCATGGCACACCAAGTACACTGGGATAACTTTTCCCCTCGCTGCAGTAAAGAAAAAGGCGACACCCCTTTTTACGGAATTCCCGCGCAAAGCATACCGTTGCCCTAATATTTGTTAGTGGAGGAACCGTTTTGGGGAACACCTCCTTTTGGAGACTTATACCACTGGGTAGGCACACACCGAATGCAACCGTGCCATCAATCCATGGCTTCAAATAATGCAACTATTTGCCGACAGATATCACTGCCAACGCTTGGAGTGAAAGGAAGCTTAGGCAAAACAAAGGAAATTAACAGACACACATAAAAGAAGTTTTTTGTTGCGGCCAGTACGCGACAATTTGTAACCGTTAAACTAATGAGCATTTGAATATTTTCATTACAGGTGATTGCGCTGAAACAACAGACGAGATGACAGCCGATAGCAGAGGTGAGCAGTCAATTATCAAATACAGTTATGATTAAATTAATCAATTTCAATTTCAATTTCAATGCATTTTAGTAAATTTACATAAAATTTCATTATACACACTTATCTAACGCCAAGCCGGAGTTTAAATAAAATTCAAACAAACAAATTGCTGCACTGCTTTAAGTGGCAGTAAATAAAAATATGTAAAGAAGATTCAATAAAGATCACATTCAGTTTTCAATACATACAATATTCAATATTAGAAGCGCTTAAAACGCCAATATTTATGGCCACTGTGAAAGTTGCTATAAAAATAAACCATAAAATTACTAAATTAAATTTCACACCCAGCGAAGAAATATTATACATACATACGTATGTATGTAGATGCGTAAGAGCGAGTTGATAACTGGCAGTGCAGTGATGACCTAAACTCTGATGGCGCAAAGGGTTTTGGATAAGTCGAAATTAATCAGTATCTTTATTACCAACCGCCACTTCGACGCGAAATTGTCTATAGATATAGATGTATGTGCGAGCGTCTATGTGTTTGTGTGTATGGCTGTGACTTCATAAAAATCAATCAATAATAAAAAGGAGTATTTAAAATTGAACCCACACACTCACAAGTACATGAAAGGGTTTTTGAATAAAATGCCATTATAGAAAAAAGAAGGAGTGTAGATAAGAACACATGCATTAATGCAAAATCACATACACTCACACACATACCAAGCTCAAACTAATAATATATTTATATGCGTTCAAGGGGCGTGATCTGTCCTGCTGCTGGTGGCCAGAAATTGGTTAGTTGGTTGGCTGCAGAGTCGCGTGCTAAGCAACAGATAACATTTTTATACACCGATTTGTGTGCGTTTATATGTATGGGTGTGCGCTTTTATTTAGAATGGAGTAAAAACCCAAAGTTTATCACCATCTACAGCAATGCAGCAGTAGCAGCAGCAGCATCAACGCTAACACTACCCTCTCTCTTCTTCTCCTCCCTACCACCATCGGCCAACACTCGTTCAAGCGATGTCACCATCAATATCAACACACAACCATGCGTCAGCGCTTTACTCGCTTTATTCGCATTATTTTGCCAATAAAAATTTAATCTTCTTCGATCCCAAAGCCGCTGCTGTCGTCACTGATACCCGTCGCTGTCGGCCAACCCTTTCGGGTTTGTCCTGTTTGTCGGGCGATATGCACATTCGCTGTCATTGGAAGTTCCCTTTTTTATTATTATTTTAATACTAAGCTTTATCTATCATAAAAACACACACCATCCGACTAGCCGAACATCCAACCAGGCAGCTAATGCTGATGCCACTGCCAAACGGCCAATTGCACTGAGTCTTTGGGTAAATCAAAGGCTGTGAAAATGAATAGATAGTACAGATTGGGGTGGGAGTTGTGAGTGGTGTGAATATGTGTTGTTGGAAATTTCTTCTCACAATTCAGACAGACACATACACACGCGCGCACACACAACCCCTTTATTTTTTGTGAGTTCGAGTGTCACTGTTATGCTCCCATGTCGATCTTTTGACTTTTTGTCATTCGGAAATTGACTATGATATACTTGACATAACCTATTCAGTCATGTTCCCTTGTCGACGGGACGTCTGTCAGTTATGTACATACATATGTATGTGGTGTGGCGTGTGAATCAGAGTCACCCCTTGATTAACAGTATTGTGGTTTTCGAAGTCCTTTGTGAACTTTTCCCACATAAAGTGGATTAAGTGGTGGTATGTCATACCATATGTATATATGTATTCTTGTGTATGAGTCCAACAGTGTGGAATTAAATAATATCTTGCATAATCAGTAACATTCTTATCGGCCAAAGCGATAAACACCACCAACAAATTTTGCTTTGAGCCTCGTGAATTGCTTCCCTAAAATCACTAAAAATTTCTCTCAAATGGTGAATTATAATTTTAATCCGACGTAATGACACCCTGCTGCAATGAGCGGAGGTCATTGAAATTAATAAATTGTAATTATTATCAACCAAGGATAAGCGGATTGCGCAAAAATGTTTAATCCTCTTATGAAAAGCGGTAAGTGGTGGTAATGTGGCATTTCTGTTTTACTTAAGATGAAATTGGCTCAGCACTCGTTAACAAAAACTCTTGGTAATATTCCAGATTTCATTTAAAACTTTGAAAAATATTAGGATGACTTTTGATGCCGACATTTGATAATCTTCTCAGCTCAAATGACAACCTGCACATGACGCATGCTGCGGATGTTGTACTGCCTCACACTACAGCACATAACCAGATTTACCCGCTGACCTAAATGTAGATAGGTCAACAAAATTGTTACAGTTTTGGTCGTATAAAATCCGGTTCAATTCCAGTGCATAGAGCGGGTGTCGTTAAGGAACTGGTTATTATAGTCGACTTAATTCCTACTTATCCGTATTTGACCGCGACATATCCAGCCAATATTCTGTATGCAATGAGTGCCTCACGACACTAACCTCCTCTGTGAGTTGAATTTAGTTGCTGCGGTTGCTGCTTATTCCCAGCGCATTTAGAGACCAATAGACAAATTGTGATACCATTATGAAGCGTCTGTCTTCGCCTTCTCAAATGATCGAACCATTTCGTGTGCCTTGTAAGAGCAACGACACTCCCAATTTTCGTTGAGGCTAGCACAGCGAGACAGTCGAGGAAGTGTTTTCTGCCGGAACTTGTGCCACGCAGATATCACGGCTGGACCGTGATAGAGGGAGTGTTCAACAGACTCCTACTCTACTTCGTCCCTGTTGCTGCAGCCAAATCTTTTACAGTAAAGTCCCACTAACAGTAGAGTTTCTCAAAACGAGAAAAATATTCGTACGATTCCCTTTAAGAAGAATCACAACCTGTACTTATAGAAACAACGGTACTTTTAGCCTAAAGCTAGCGAAGCACCATGAGATCTCGAATACCAACTCTCTCTTAAGCCTCTGCCTATAATTCAACCACATCGAAAACACTCTAAATGCGGCTCGACAATCCTCATCGTACGAGCTGTTTTTGTTACCTTATCGAAAACCGATAGTTTCATTTTCTGTAGATAGGGAACTTGAAATGCTGTCCCACAGTTCCTTTATACGATAAGTGCAGATGAGTGCTCTCAGAGAGTAGCAGTGCAAGTCGGGTAGAAACCAGTTCGTCTTTCTGTGGTAATAGCAGCATTTCGATGTCGAACCTTCCTTGTCTTTTTTGACGGTCGTTTCAGCAGATATCACTTCGTTACTTCACAGGCCATATTAAGCTTAATCCTTTCTCAACCTTTGGCCTATAATTTAATCACATGGAAAACGCTCTGAATGTGAAATTATTTGCTTGCAAGCAGTGTCACTGGGCATTTATGAAAGGAAAGTCTTATAGCAGTATTTAGCGGTATGTCTTCCTTGGACCTTGAAATTCAGGTTTTTTTTTAGTTAGCTGTTTTAGCAAAAGTTTTGGACTAGACCTCAAACAGGAAATAGTAGGAAGTAATGTCAAACATATTTGTCATGAGACATTTTGTGGTCTCATTAAATCCGTTGAGCAGTAACTAATGACCCCAACGGAGCACACAGTCACAAACCATTGTCCAGAAGCTTACTCATTATGAGTTCACCTACCTTAGATTTCTCGTTTCTATCGCCATAAACTTACGTTATTCAAGTTTTTTAAGAGAGTAGTAACTAAACGTCCCTGTTTCAGGCTGTTTATCAGATTTTCTAACCACGGCAACGCATATCCACATTTTGCTCAGCTCGCTGATGATTTTTCTATTGTGTTATGTTCAAACTCCGATAAGTCCAAGTTAATGCCTATATGCATGTTTCGATAGCAAGCTTATGACAACTTGACCCTCGAAGACCCTTTCCATATTCTCACTCATTCTTATTCCAGTGTGATTGTCACCTCCTCATTCCTATCATTCTTAAATATCACAGAGGGCTCTTAAAATCGTATTTTTTTCAATTATGAAATAGAAATACCATCCAAACACCCTACTAACGCTGATTCTCTCAAAATATCTCTAAGCCAGATTTAGATGATAATGCTATTTATGTAGCCTGTCGTTATGTAGAAGTGTGGCAGCAGTAGATAAGAAATAAAACCAAAATATAAAATATATAATAATATACTCAGTAAACCAAGTGCTCTATCTAATCCCGTTGGTAAATGATTGCACGTGAGAGTACTATATGGAAGCCACAAGCTGACCACTACTGACAACCTTACATCTTTACAACTACGGACCAATAAGTTTGCAGCATAAACCCAGCAAAATATTTTGGTAAAATTATTTTCGGGTATTTTATATATTATAAATTGATACTTTGTAATGCAAACGTAGACCAACTTATATAATATTTCTGAGAAAATTGTCCTTTGTTGATGTAGTCACCACTTACATGATTATAGCCTAGTTAACAACAGCTTACCATTCCTTCCTTCCTCTCGCTGTTTGGCGGCAATTGGAAATACCAAGTACAGCCAGCCAGCCCTCTCCACCTAATCTTTCCAACGGAGTAAATGTCTTCTTCATCCTCTGCGGGCTAGCACCACGTCAGAAACTTTCAAAGCGTGGAGTATTCTTATCCATCCGGTGTTTTTTAACATCAACTCATACGGTCGCGTCATTATTACGGGGATACAAAATTCAGGCATAGTGTTTTCATGCTGTCAAAAGCTGCTTTAAAATCGACGAAGAGGTAAAGTGTGTTGATGCTATTTTCAGACTGGAACAGTTTTGCCTCCGTAAATTTAGTATACTCCGTGCATGATCACCTCTCTGAGTTCTACAAGAGATTGCTCCGCTATTGAAACCGTATCTTTCCATAGAATTTTCGAGCAGTACCCTTGTCGGCCAGCATCAAATGCTGTTCATAATGACACACCACTGCTTCTTTCTTTATTTGTCTGCACATGCGTCTTGCTTTCCTCTTCAATTCTCGATATTTATCCAACCCAGTACGTCGATCGCGTCGTTGCGATATAGGCAATCTAATTTCTCTC